ATTTTGACGAGCAATGTGATTGCAAGTTTTTGTGTGTGGGCACTTTGATGTCTTGAAATAAGCATTTGCCGCATGACGCCACCAGACAACATTCTCTCAATTTCGGTGTTTAAAAACATTTAAATCTTTAAAAAACTTGCTGAATAATTTCCTAAAACGTAATCATAAATAATCCAATAAGGAACAGACTTTTATTTTGATTTAATATAAAAATTTCATCGATGTTACCACCAGCACGCTTTCTTACAAATGAAAATATGGCTGTCAAACTATCGAATTGCCTGCAATAGATGTCAAGCAATAAGCGCTGACATATATTGCAGCACATGAGAAATAGGCGGTCTCCATTGGAAATATATTTTGTGACATAGTTTTCACGACATCAGTGTTTTCCTGTGGAGACAGGGCCTGAGTGAGTGTATATACGGCCGCCACGACCATCTATTATTATGTGCACTAAAAGTGTCGCAACAGTCGAACGCATTTTCCTACACCAGGTTACTCTAGTACACTCAACCAACAGAGCCACGATGTAGCGAACAAAGGTGGTGCATTCCACAAACCGCAACGTTGGTTTTGCCGATTTTGACAATTTTCAAGTAAAAGTAAACAACGCCTTAGAGACTTTAAATGCACTGAAATTCACCAATTCTCTAAAAAAAAATCACAATTTTTTAACTGTTTCTTTATTAATTCCTTTTATATATCACATATTTTTTACAATTTAACTGACTTAAGCGAAGCGCACATTGGCGCGATTCTGTCGTTGCGAATCCGCAAGCCCAAAAATTACAACAATGCTACCCATACATTTTAATGCGCTAGCGCACACTTGCACGATTCCGTCGCTGCGAATTTTTCGAACATTCAATGTTCCTCTCTATTGACGCGTTCGAAACGCGGCTTGCAGCGTTTTGAAGGCGTCAAAGAAGAAGAAGAAAGGTGTCACAGCAATAAAGGCAAAGAAAAAAAAACGTGTAATGTACAAAAACTAATAAAAACGTTCGTAATAATAGTATTTTGTACGATTTGGGCACGCCGAGTGCGAAAATACACGAAATAAAGGGAAAATTGAGTGAATTGTACATCGGAAATCGACGCGAAAAAATCGCTCAAGTGTGCGCACGTTTGCGGATTCGAAGTTAACAGCCGAATTCGCAACGTATTCGCAACGATGGAATCGCGCTAATGTGCGCTTCGCTTTAAACCACGTTTTCTTTCGAAAATTGAACATTAAGAAAATGTACTGTCTTGACACAGTGCCTTTTAACCCCTTATTCGGATTTGTTTAATTTTACTAGAGAAATGTCATCGCCGCAGGGAGAACACAATCTTGTATTCATAATTCTTGATGTGGTATTGATATCGGCATGTTCTTTGGACATCGCACTAATTTGTAACTTTGGCATCCCTGCACACATCACCATAGAAGAGCATGCTTGCTACATACATATGTACATATATATGTATAGTTTTACTTTACCATGCTTCTATGCACATACATACGTACATATATAAAATAATTTTGTGAATATTTGACAAAATATGCAGCCGATGTCGAAAAACACGTTTTTTTTTTGCACATCAATCTTTTGATTTTTTATGCAATACTAGGGCTGTTTTCTCAAGCAGCTTTTAAAATTTCTCTGTCATTCAAAGTTTTAAAAGCGGCTTGAAAAAAACGGCCCTTAAACTAAACAACTTTTTCAGGTCTGGGATAAACTTTTCTATAAAACACGAAATTTTACCACTTTTTTGAATTTAAAAGGACTATCTATCAATCAATCAAATGTATGGTTTCTTTGCCAAAAATTCACATAATTATATTGAATAAATGTCCTTTGAGTAACGAAAAGATTACAATACTACACGTACTACATAGCAATACGATCTTAAATAGTAAGTGTGATGAAAATTTTACTTACGTTGAGAATAGCAATAGAGTAAATGCGTGTTTTTGATTCCAACGCAGTTATTGAAATTCAAATCCACTTCCAGCTGATGAATACGATCCCTGAAGCGCAATATTGGCACTTTTGCTTCGATTAGGTTGAAATTCTCGAACTCGGCTACATTTAATACAATAACATTAGCATTGCAGTTGAGTAAAAAAATTAACGCTGATATATATGTGCACTCCACAAACTCGAAATAACTTTTAAAACTAATGCATGACTAATCACCACACGTCCAAGCACAACCGGCTACGCCAAAGGAAATTTAGTTACTGAACTTCTGTGCAAAGCCATCGATTTTATAAGCACATGGTTAATATGGAGATTTTGCTACCTGCATACAAATGTAATCCCTAAAAATCTATGCAACTTCAACGCGCAAACTTTCCTTCCTTCAGGTAACTGCAAATTACTCCCTTAAAATTTTATACATTCTTTCGTATTGAAGTTTGGCGCGAAAGACAGCGTCATTTGTTTGCCAAGATTGCCATTGCTCGACATTTGTATGTATACCTGCAAAACACCCTTGCATTTATCACATTTAGAGATGTGACTGTTACTCATCATCTACACAATCCATTGTTTGTCTCTTAACATCTGGTATTTTCTTGTTTCAAGCCTGCGTTGCGAATACGTAGCAAGGCATGACATAACTTAAGCGAAACGCATATTAGCGCGATTCTATCGCTGCGAATTTGGCTGTTAACTTCGAATCCGCAAACGTGTACACACCCGTGCGCTTTTTTTTGCGTCGAATTCCGATGTACTTAATTTTTCCTTTTTTCGGTGTATTTTTGCACTCGTTTTCTATTCGTTTTTGAGCAACACAATTTAGTTTTTTCTTTGCATTTATTGCTATGACACTTTTCACTTTCATTGAATGTTCGAAAAATTAGCAGCGACGGAATCGTGCAAGTGTGCGCTAGCTCATTAAAATATATGGGTGGCATTGTTGTAATTTATAGCTCTGCGGATTCGCAACGTATGAATCGCGCTAATGTGCGCTTCGCTTTAAGGTTTCGATAGTTAGATGCTCTAGGTGAATAAAAAATAAAAAGTCGGTGTACATATATCAAGAAATTTAAAAGGTTTGTTTAAACAAGTAAAAAAGTCTAAGTTCGGGTGGAGCCGAACAATAAATATCCAGTGCAAAAATTAAATATAGTTTTTTCACCTTTCCGAAAACTGCCGCTACATGGTAAGCATACCGCTACATGGTAGGCAGGGGTGGTTTTTATTCCTTTTTCAAACATCTCACACTACGTTTATGCGGAAGAATTTACGAGTTCTTCATTTCATGAATTCAAAACTGGTTCCGTTTATGCATAAAAGGCCCTACACACGCACCGATTTATCGGCCAACCGCTAGAAGTTGGTGGTATATAAGTTGGCAAACCTTCGTCAAGTTGTTCGTCAGGTTGGAGCAAAATCAAAATTTTTGGATTTTTGAGACAGATTGGTCAACTTGTTGCTCTGCGTGTAGACAAGTTGGCAACCTAAATTCGATTTCATTTTTTTAAAGGCGCGTTAACGTTAACATGTGTTTTTTGGTTCGTTTCGCTGGTGAAAATGCGTATAATTTGTGAAAACGGGGGCGGTAGCAGTTATAAATACATAAAAATGAGAAGCAAAGTTTACCGGTGCTGTTCTGTTGTTCACAGTTCAAAAACTCTTATTCAAATGAAATCCGCCAACTGGTTGGTGCGTTTGTAGGGAATTTCGTTAAGTAGGTTGGTCAACTGGTTGGCCGATAAATCAATGCGTGTGTAGGGCCTTTAATTCGCGAATACATGAAATGGTGTTTTGAAAAAGTGGCTGCGCAGTAGCGAAAAACTAAACAGTAGGGTTGTGGTTTTTTTTAGCATTTTTTTTTTGAATTTGCAAAAGGCGTTGGTACCAGAAAATGATCCGCCTTATTTTAAAATTGCTTTTAGTGCATTTGAATTTCCTTAATATTACAACAAATCCACGTAACTTTTCCGGTGTTTTAAGTCATGGTTATGCCTCTAACATGCCTTTGGTGTAAAAACTTCATAACCCAAGAATGATAGAATACATTGGGGTGTTCACAGTTCGTTCCAAACAGTGTCTCAAAATGTAGACGTCTACATTTTAAGACGTTTTCTAACCGT